CCCAAACAAGAAAATAAGGAAAATGTTGAAAATCAGATCAGGCCCAGCATGCATCAGAGGGGGGAATTCACCTGACAAGGTTTTAACCGTTCGAGTCAGGTTTCTCATTTTGATCTTCTGTCGTCATCTCTCCAACGCACTCTGTTTGGTGACCAGCTTTGTTCCTTCTCTCTATGATGGACAGAGGGAAGTCACTGGAGGCCTATTTCCTGTGTAGGTCTCACAAATGCATCTTGGGCTCCCCCTGTCATCCATAGTTCTCTGCAAACGAGATTCTCACACTTTCGGCGCTGATGCCATTCTCTCCTTTGGCTTTGAATTATATGATTTACAATCCTTTGGTCACTGATGTTGGTGTGCTTCTTCCTTATGGACATAGTTGATATCTCACTTTGATGACTACTTGTTTGGAAACAACCCTTTAAAAACCCAGACTTTGTTTTCTGATAGCCAGGCACCATTGAATTTATTTTATCACATATTGCTATAGCACCTATATCTTTTTTTAAAATCATTTTATTGGAGGCTCGTACAACTCTTATCACAATCCATACTTAACATACATACATACATTGTGTCAAGCAAATTTGTATATTTGTTGCCCTCATCATTCTCAAAACATTTTCTTTCTACTTCAGCCCATAAAGATCCATCCGTTATTTTTTTTTCTCTCTCTCTGATTAGGATGGTTAGGCGCCCTGGTGGCACTGTCAGTAAACGTTGGATTGCTAATCTCAAACTCAGCTGTTCGCAAACCACCAACAGCTTTGAGGGAGAAAGAGGAGGCTGTTTACTTCTGTAAAGATGTACAACCCTATATAGAATTGCTATGAGTAGGAATTGACTTGATGGCAGGGGGTTTGATTTTGATATTGTCTATCTGAGAATTGAATTCAGATTTCTTGAATTTTTATTTGGTATTCATTCCCCTGTATTGCCCACATTGAGGACTGATTTTATATAACAAACTTATTCTCTTGCACCACAGATAACTTGTCTAGTTTTCATACATTGAATTTTCCTAGTTGTCAATGCTTTTTCTTGCTTCCATCCATGTAGTAATTATTCTTCACACAAAATCTTTGTATATTGTTTGTAAAATAATTCTTATTTATGAATTCATGATTTAAATTAATTGTAAAATTGAGGAAGGGAGCTACATTTGATAACCTATGTTATTTATTTTAACACATCTTACTCAGCATATTTTTTGCTCGGAAGTATACGCCACTTTATTACCCTTTCTACACAACTAAAAACCAATTAGTAACACACACACACACACACACACACACTTTTGTTCAAGATCCAAATGGAAACCACACTGTAAAGTCTTTCCTCACCTTTTTGTGTTCCCACAGAATTTTTACCAAACTTTTAAGTAGAATTTCTTACTTGATTGTACTCATTTGCTTCTAAGTTTGACTCCTTTACAGGGCTGTGATCCTCTCAAGGACAGAAAGAACATCTCATTTGTATTTTTATCTTCCATGGTTATAATTTTTCATGACTTCTAATGGGTACTGGTAAGCATTTCCAGAATATAGATCTGGGCAAGGAAAACTAAGAGCAAGATGAAAAACTGCTCACCAGGGTTGCTGAGGCTTAAAATCTTTTTGGGAGGAGATAGCCTTAGGAGTGGCAGGTGGATCTGAACTGGGGACTTCGGCTAGCAGTCCAACTCACTACGCCCTCAGAGCTCCTTAACTCTTAAGTAACAGGTTGGCTAACAAAGTAAAGATTGTTACTCTTCAATGTATCTTTTGTTTTTTTAATTATGGGAGAAAAATGTCAGCAGCTACTTTATAGTTGAGAAGCTTGTCAGACAGGGAGATTAAGTAAATGAAAATGAAACAATTAACACAGAAGGAGTGTTAACAAATTGTGAAGATGTTACCAGTGTTGGTGATCATTATGTCTAGAAACAAATAAAAGTAGGCTTTGATGTGTATATTTTCACCTAAAATTAAATTACAAATTACAAAAAGCAAGTAACATCTTCATGACTCAAGTGAAAAATCAAGCCTAATAGTTATTTTCAGCCTAGTATTCTTAATTCACTGTTCTGGACTATGTTCTTACCCTTTCCATTTACACAAGCATAAACCCATGCTCTCGCTTCTATTCCTTTACAGGATTCCTTTTTAAAATGCCACTCTTTCTTCTTTATCTTCTCACTTCTTTTCCTTATCAGAAAATGGACTTGAAAGACCTTTAAAAAAATTAAAGCTTAGCAAGATGAGATGGTGACTCTCCAGTTTTATAACTGTGATTTTTGGCAAGTTGTTAATTTTTAAAATTTTTTAGTAAAGTGAGAAAAATGGAAAAATTCCATTCTTCCATGAACTATTGAAGGCCCCTCATTTATTGTATTTATGCTAGATGCACTTTCAAGGTTTTGCACATATTAACTGTAGTTTCTGGTGTGTCAGCAAGCTAACTAAAAGTAACATTTTTCCATTTAAAGACTTTTTTTACAATATAGAAACCTGCAAAACCTTTGCATTATGACAATAGCCATTGGTGTATTTGTATATCTCTTGGCTGTACTGTAGGAATACATTAAATTCAGTAGAAATACCTTGGTAATATTTTAATAGTTATAAATCTGATGCTTCTTGTAGAAGCATTGTACTCTGAACTCTTGCATTATGTTTCATTTTAAATTAAGCATTAAGGCAATGCAGTTTTTTAATTGTAATGCTGCCAATCTTATTAACTAGAGACCCATTAAACCGTTTTTTTCTTTCATAAATTTTTTCTTCCCCCAAAGGAATTTTTGGGTAACTCATGTAATTTTTACAATACCTCAAAATGGTGGAACTGATGTGCATGGCTATTAAGTACCAGCTTATAAGAACTGAAACCAGGATTCGAACTCAGGCACTTTGCTTTCATAATTTTTGCTGTTAACACTTAACTGCTGTTAGCATTTACTGTTCTGAAGGCCACAGCAGTAAATCATGTTTTCTTTTTATATATGCATATTCTGTTGTGAACCTTTGGCCTTTGATTTTAAAAAGAACTCCCTGTTTTTAATGCACATATATAGTATTAAGATACATAAATTAAGAGTTTAGATGTTTGTTGACATTATAGAAACACTTTTTTCTTTTTCTTTCTCGTTTCCTTTTCTTGGCTTATTACAATGGCCAGGACCTCCAGTACAATATTGGATCTAAGTGGTGAAATTCTCTATCTTTTTCTTGCTTTTTTAAAAGGCTGTGACTCTTCTATCACTTAAAAACATTTTTTTTTAATCTTTATTTCTTTTTGGTATATAAGTACATAATAAGTACATTTCCCTTTTTCATGTTCTCTCTTTCTTTACTATTATACTTAAGGATTTATCAATCTTTTAAATGTTTTTTTAAATAGCCAGCTTTTGGCTTCGGGAATTTTGTTGTTGTTGTATTTTGTTTTTTATTTCTCCTTTTACCTTTTTCATTTTCTACTTACTAATTTTTCGGTCTTAAGGTTTTAGTCTAGATCATTGATATGAAAACTTTTATCTACTGTAACAAGAATTTAAAGCTGGAGGTTTACCTTTGACTGCACAATTACTACATTAACTATTTCACAAATTTTGATATATTGTTTTTGTTATCACTTACTTTAAATAAAATTAATATGTAAAATTTCCCAAGTGTTTTCTGACCTGTTAGCTCTTTTTAAAATGTGTGTTTAATGTTCCCAACATTTGGGATTTTCTTAGGTATCTTATTGGTAGAGAATATACTATTTCTCATTTTGTTTTCACAGTAATGTACAAAGAGTTACTATATGGCTATGGAATGTGCTATATCTTGGTGAATGTATCATATACATTTGAGATGACTATGCGCTTTATAGTTTCTTGGTATTCCATTCTGTAAGGCATTTTCAATGTTATTCCAGTTTGTGTTTTTACTGATTTTTAGCCTCACGTTTGCTTCCTGTGTTTTCAAGCTGATATTAGGCATATTTGCATTTATAATAGTTTAATTTCACCCATTATTTCTTTATCTGAATGAAAGGATTTTTAAAAGATCTGTAATAAACTCTTAAATTTTATTTTATCTGATAACAGTTTAGCCTCTTTGGATTATTCGGATATATTTTAGTGTTCCATTTTAATTTTTTCTATTGGCATTTTATCTATATACCTCTTATTTTCATGGTTGGTCTAGCAAATTTCACACACACACCACCACCACCCATTACATCCAACTACCCCGTAGAGTTCCAATGTGAAGCAGCTGGTGGGTTTGAACACTGACCATTTGGTCAGCAGATGAGCACTTTTAACCACTATGCCACACCCTTGTAGTCTTTTGTGAGTTAATATTTTTGTGTGTGTGTGAGTTAATATTTTATCACTTCTTAGAAGTAGAAGTCATCTAACCTTGTAGACCCCTTTCCCCATCGCACCATTCTCTAGAATGCCCATATGTATTGAAAATTGCACAACACAGTTTTAACTTTTCCTTTAAAGAATCATATGTAATTTTTAAGACCTAAGAGGAAAACAGTACTCTTTTACACTTACCCAGATTTTTGCCATGCCAATGTCTTCATTCCTCAAGGTCCAGGTTTCCTTTTTGGTATAATTTCTCTTCAGCTTAAAACAGTGTCTCTGGGTTTCGAATATATCCTTCTTGGTGTTCACTGAGATTCTTGATCTGTAATTTGTCTTTTACTAAATTTCCAAGATTTTCAGTCATGATATCTTCACATTTTCCCCCTTACCTTTCTCTCTCTTTCTTCCTCCTTCGATCTTCATTTTAATATTAAGCCTATCCATTAGTAATTTTCCCCAGGAATTTTTCTTTTCTAAAATTTCGATTTTGTTCTTTCAAAATATTTTTTATTTCTTGACTAAAGTTTTCAGTTATGCTTGAATTCAAGTTTTTATTTTATTTTATTGCACGATAATTCTGATAGCTACTGTAAAGTCTTTGCCTCATAAATCCAACATCTTAGTCTTTGAGTGGGGATCTATAGATTGCCTTTTCTTTTTAAAATGGATTACAACTTTCTGTTATTTGTATATGAAGTAATTTTGGTTTCTGTTGTAACATTGTGGATATTCCATTAGATAGATGCTAGCTCTATTAAAATTTTCTGAAGAATGCGAATGTTTTGGCTCTTAAGACTCAAACTACAACCTGTGTTTGCCTTTTCTAGGCTGTAGTTCCAATTTCAATACTTTAAGACTTTTGTTTTCTTTTCTGCCGGGGTTAATGTGAAGACTTTCAGAGTGTTTCATGTGCAGTATTGGAGGTTCTCCTTTTATATTCTCCCAAATTTAATTCTCCTTTCTCTCCTTGATGGCTTCTCCTCGGTTCAGTCCTGACAGTGGGGCTTCTGTGAACTTTTAACTGTCCGCTTCTCATATCTACTGCACATTTTGGGGCACCACTTTAGTTACATAGTTATAACTAGCATAAATGAGTCTAGAAAAGGTAATTTCTAGCTGGATGGCTATTAGTCAATATAGAGTTCCTTTACAGAAAGAGAGGAGAGAATGTTTATTAAGGGACCATTGATTGTCTCCATTACAAGAGTCTATCAATTTTTGTTAACTTGTCACTTAACAAAGCACAGAACTGGATGTTGATGAACTTGCTAAAATCCTTCAAACCATGTTAAATTTGCTGGATATATGAGCTAATAATTTTTTATTTTGTTCTTGTATTTTAGGCCTCAACTCCATATAGCATAGATTCAGATTCTTTGGGAATGGAGTGTATTATTTCGGGAAGTGCCTCTCCAACTCTGGCAATCAACACTGTGACTAACAAAGTAATTTCATTTTTTAAACGATTTTGAAAATGTCATTGAGTAATACATTTAATTTGCATTCAGCACAACAATAGAGTTCTCTATGTGATTGAGTTTAAGATGATATACTTTTGACTGCCCAATACATAGCAGACTGAAAGCTGAATCCATAATGTTTTTAGGTATGTTACAAATTAGGAGAAATCATAAAGTACTTATTCAGAAATTTTGTATTCAAATTCTTTAAAAACAAATCAATTTTATTGACACATATTCCATATAGTATACAATTAAATAGTTCAGTCATATCAAGAAGAGTTGTACAATCATTACCACAATAAATTTTAGAACATTTTCTTCTTTCTTTATTCCTTGTTATTAGCTCTACATTTTCTTCCAACCTCTCCTGCCACACCCCCAAGAAACCAGTTATTGTCTATAGATTTACCTATTCAAGATTTCATATGTAGAAAAACATACTAAATAAGCAGCAAGAAAACTAACAACAACAAAATAAAACTGAGAAAAAACTCAATGGAAAAGAAAAAACATTAAAACAAATTAGAGCAAATATAAAAGTGGGTCAAAAGGAAGACCAAAAGATAAAGTGTTACATTTTAACCTAAATGCATCAGCAACAATCTGCTTTTCAATGCACTCTGATGGGATAGCAAGGCTATTCACATCCCTGGTCTACGAGGGGGTACTCCCTGCAAAAAACCACATTGCACTGGGCGAAGCAGAGCTTTGGTAGTGTGTATTTTTTCTGCTATGCGAGCATCAAGCAACTCTGAGTGCACCTAGTGGCGTTGCGTGGGAAGGGTGTTTTTTTTTTTGTGACTGAACTTTTTCATAGAAGCAATTTCCTTTGAGTCTCGTTTTTAGTCATGGCTGATTAAGAGAACAATGTGCGGCTGTGAAATTTTGTTTACTGCTAGGTAAAAATGCCGAAGAAACCATTGTGATGTTGAACACAGCTTACAAGAACTCTGCTAAGGGAAAAAGGTGAAATGTTGAGTGAGGACAAACTGCATTCTGGATCCATCAACTTTCGGAATGGACTAAAATGTCAGCTCGTAGTGCATTTGGAATTCTTTCCACCAGGTTAGACTGTTAATCAAGCTTTTAATTTAGAGGTTCGGAAGAGATTGCATAACTGTATGACAAAAAAGACCTGATTTGAGGCAGATGGGGGACTAGTTTTGCCACCACAACAATGTACCTGCTCACACAGCCACCTCAGTGCCCATTTTTTGGCACAAAACAGCACGCCTCTCTTGCCCCACACACCTTACTCACCTAACCTTGTTTGGTGCGACTTCTTTTTGTTTCCACAAATGAAGAGGGACATGAAAGGACAGCGATTTGATGACATAGAAGAGGTGAAGAAAAAAGGGAGATGCTGTCAGCCATCCAAACAGACAAGTCTGAAAAATGTCTCCAAGAATGGAATCACAGATTTGACAAATGTATTAAGTGTAATGGAGAGTACTTTGAAGATGATAAGGTTGTTCTGAAAAAAAAAAATTTTTAATACATAGCTATGACAAAAAAGATTCTGGTTTTTATTGGGTACCCCCTTGTATGATCAAAGAGGATTCGCCAGAGGCTTAATCCATATTGTCCCTTCATTTTTTCTTAAAAAAGGCAAACAGTTTTAACAGAGTCAAAAGGGACATCAAATGATATTACATTTTAACCTAACGATATCTGCCATAATTGACTTTACAGTGCTCTCTGTCTGGTAAGGCAATTCACATCCCTTGACTGAGGTCAGAGGGGATTCATCTGAGGCTTGTCTATGTGGATGCCCTACAAATGGATTTTGGGCATCCATTGTCATCCATAGCCCTTTGAAAACCAGGTGTTCACAATTTAAGCTCTGGTACCATTCCCTCCTATGGATTTTGACTGTATTATTTATATTCCTGAGTCACATAAGCTAGTGCTTATGCTTCGTCCATGCTTAATTGATTCCTTGCTTAGATGACTGCTTGTTTGAACTCAACCCTTTTAACATATTAAAAACCGGATTTTTTTTTACCAACTTACCCAAGTGGCTGTGTATTTTTTCGGTTGTTAGTGTTTTTTTTTTTGCATTAAATCATAAATGCGTTTATACCTCAAAAACTTTTTATCATATTTATTTATAACTTTCAGTTTTTGAATATAAAACATCTCACATTATGAAACAATATTTTTCAATGTATGCAGAACATTATTACTTTTATGAACTATAATCTTCATGAAATTATAAACTTGTAAAAATAATCAACATAATTCATATTACTTTGAAAAATTAGGGCTAAGAATTTCTTCATGTCTTTTTGTGTAACGGGAGACCACTTGAGCGATTTAGGTGATGTTTTACATTTCACTGAGGTTTGATCAAGGAGTGTACAACTCCTTGCAAAACAATTCAAACAAATAGTAACTATTTGATTTAACCAAAATGCACTAAAATGCTAAATAAACAAAAAGAACATGAAGACAATTGAGTTTGATACATTCATTACTGATGTAAACACCTTAATAGACGAAGTAGTTAAAATATATCCAAGCAGATGGCATCTGAAGACAGCGTGTAGAAATCACAGATGGCGTGCGAACCACGAGTAAACTCAGGATCTGCCCACAATATGTTAAGATTCCAGACGCTATTCTTTCTGAGAGTTGGTCGTCATCTAGTTTCTTCACCACCCTTTGCTAGAGTACCCATATCTTACGTGATCTCTTCATGAGGTCAAGCATCAAGCAGGGCCATGTCAAGAATTAATTGTTCGTAGATTGGGACTAGAATTAGTGCGAGCCCAAATCCATTCATTTATCTATGGTTTGTATATGTCTCTGATTCACCTTAGTGCCATCATTGTCATTTTATGTTAGAGAATATTGTCAGTCCTCTCCCTTGGGCATAAGGTAATTCTATTGCAGTATAGAATTTAAAACTCAGTTGAGAAAAGGAAATGCTACAGGTGTGGACCAACTCTGAACCACCATATATAAATTATTGGTGTACAAATTAAACCCTTAAGTAATTGGACACTATTTACCAAAACACTGGAACTTGGTAATAGGGCAAAACTTTCTGTTATATTCATTGACAGCAGTAGACCCATGCCTACCAGATTTTATATTCATTCATTTACATTCTTGACCCTGCCAGCACAGTAGACATCTAGTGAGGTACAAATCCATCTTGTTTATAGGACAGTGTATTAATCTCATATATCAAATCCCTAAAACGGCTTTTGAAAGTTCATTAAGTTCTGAACATCTATTTTCTATCCGAGACCATGAGCACCTTGAAATCATAAACCTCATACACACATTGTCACACTCTTTCAGTTGTCTTGCCTTGAACGTTTTCGCCCTTCTTGTTCTTTCACTAAACTTGCTTTATGTCTCTTCCACTTTTGCATTCACATAAATATATCTATACATTTACTAGTCCAATAAGATCTGTTCCTTTGTTAAAAAATGGATGAACACGTAGAGAACAAAATGTAATCAGGATAGTGACATAATCATATTTTTAATTTAGGAAATTCGCATCTGAAGTAGAGTAATGATTCTTCCCAAACACCAATCCATACATGAAAGATTACATCAGAATTACCTAGAGAGCTGTACTTGTCAGCCTATAAACTTGTCAGTTGATTGGTCTGTCTGTGTGTCTGGTGGTGGTAGGAATTGTATGATTCCATTGCATACCAATCATACCGGACAGTCTGTTTTAGATGGATAAGGTCCAGCAATCTGTACTTTAAAAAAAAAAAATCACCCCTAACAATGTACAGCTAGAGTGGAGAAGTGAAAGGATTGGAATCAGGAATTTCTAATAGTACTTTTTGTATAGCTCAGTTAACAGATAGCAAGGACCCAAATATGATAGTGGACTATTTCTGTGAACTTTTTGAAGCCCTCTTGTGTAGATAGTGGAGGTGCTTAAGAAACACTTGAGGTAATGCTTGGTCATGATCAAACGAATAGGGGGTTGAAGAAACTTGAGTTTCTTGAGACTTCTGTTTCCAGGTACTATAGAATAACCAGTGACAGCCTAACGCTTGTTCTTTGACACTGAAAAATATGTACAAAGTACCTAAAATCAAACAAGAAATGAACGCTGCAGACTCTATGGGGAGAAATTACTAAGACAAAACAAGATATAAATAATTGTATGTGGCTAGATGAAGAGAAAGACTGTGGTTAAAAAGCCATTTCCCTCAAATTGTCTATAGATGTAGTAGAATTCTAATCCCAAACCGAGCATGCTTAAAAATTGAAAAAGAAAAAAAAAAAGTCATAAAATACAGTTGGGAATCCAAAATGACCGTTAGTAGTAGGGATAATCTTGAAGAAAAAAATCAGAAGATATTTTACACCCAGGCAAAAAGACTAAATCTCAGTTACTGAATCTGGGAACTGGGATACTGAACTGGATGATGACTGGTTGGCACAGGAGAGAGGAGAGTACATGTCATTAATTAAATAATAAACGGATTCATGGAACAGTTCAATGTGGGAAAGTTATCTTTTCAGTATATAGTGCTGTATCAGTTAACTGTAATAATAACATTTTCTATGCACAACATTTAATTCCAGATGGTTCTAAGACATAAATATAATGGACAAAATAAGTTATTAGTTGGACAAAAAGGAAGAATAAGATGAATATTTTTTAATGGAAAGGAAATAATGATAGATTAATACAAAAGATAATAAAGCTTTATATAATCTTTAAATGTCTTACTAAAGACAGCAAAGGATATATATTACTTTATTTGTACTTAGTTAAAAAATGAGCAAACTAATTGATAGTGAAAAAAGTTTATGCAGTGGTGACTGGAGCTTGGAACTGGGAGGGGAAATGACTGGCTGACCTAGGAAAGTGCTGGTAATGCTCGTTATCACCTCTCCTCAGAGTGTTGTCCATTGAACCTCTTAACCAAGGGACCCTTTTAGGAATCCATTAGGGCAACATTTTTCAAGTAATACTAGAATATCATTTGCTTTTTCCCATTTCTTCTGATGTAGCAGAAGGAATTGTGTGTAAAACTGCTGACACCTTAGCACAAATCAAGGCAATGGGACCCAGCTAGGAAGTCAGACTATAATATTTACTACTACAGATCCTCAGTTAGAAACAAAAATAACCCCAAAGCTAATTTACTTAAGATATTCTTGGTGAAGCAGAAAAAAAAATAATTTTATTAAGTTGTGAACCTTAAGTATCGATCTTTTGTATGTTGAAGTAGCCCTTTTTAACATACTAGAACACAGTGATTCCCTCAAGGAAAAATAATCGGGAGCTGAACTAGCTGCTTTGCTTATGGAGCAATGATTTTACATGAAAGATTAAGATGTTTTCTTCAAAAGAACTAAGTGAGCCTGTTACCATTAGAAAAACAATGGACTCTCTTACAAGCGATAAAATTTGGATGTTGAGCAATAAGTAGAATTTTTAAAACCTTGTATTTCATCAGCGTGACCCTGCTGCTGCTTTTCTTTAAAAACATTCTAAGAAGATTGTGGTAGTGTTAGCAACTGTGATTTTTTTTTTTTT